TTGACATTAAACGAATATGTGTGATCAAACGAAGAAAAATCACGTTAAAGTTTTTCCTGATGTATGACATTATTTTAGTAAGTCTGTTTCTTTAGCTTCAGATTGACGTATAGTAATTAATTGTAAATGAAACTTCAGTTAATCATTTGAATATTTTTGTTTGGCTTGTCCACTGGGGCACTGTTGCACTGAACAAAATATCTATTTGTATTGTACCCAGGTTAAAAGATTATGATAGAAAATCTTAAAAGAAAGACTGATCACAGTCTTTACATTGAAAATAAAATGTAAGAAAAGCTATTCTGATTGTCTAAAGTGGGATAAGTCTTCATAAGGCAGCAAATAAAAAAATAATGTTAATTTTATTACGATGCAAAAAGGTATAGTCATAACCTTGCACCTTGCAATTTTTAATTATTTCCAAAAACCCTATAATAGAAACCCCAGATACGGTGCTCATTGTTACAATCGATTTACCTGATAAATCATGTTATATTATTTTCCTCACAAATAAAGGAACATAGTTACATATTATCGACTAAACACAATACAAAAAGAAGACCGTCTGGTGACTTTGTGAGGAACTGGTGTCGGTGATGGGGCGATAGCCTGAAGTACATATTACCAGGACCCACCCCACCTTACCCTACAAAATAATAAGGTATATAAAACAAAAAATAGTTATCGTTTACGCCCATTTCTAATATATTTCTCTATCGTTGGATGGATCTGTTCAGCCTTTGAAGGCCGGAACTCAGCATTCATATAGTTACTCAGTAGCCCTACAGAGAGCATAGTCGATTACCGTTACGAGAGTCCGATATTAGTAAGCTCGAAAGAGTAACCCAATATTAAAACATTTGAGGAGGATATTCCATTCATCATTCATCACATAAAAAGTAAGTTTATTATAAGTCTAAGGTTTGCCTACGTAAAATTTTAAAGGAATACTGTTATTTGTAACATGATTTATTATTTAAACATCACCTGCCTGTCTGACACAATTTTCATGGACATTTTGAAAATTGGCTTGGGATACAATTTAAGAAGGCTAGATCTAATGTTACGCGCTAAGCTTACATGTCTCTTCGTGAGTATGCTGTGTGTCGTGTCCGCCACGTTAAGTGACCGCAAAGCCATAATATATTTAGCCTGTGCTGCCCCACCACACGCAGAAAGCTTTTTATAAATATTTAATAAGGGACTGTTTACACAAGCCTTGTTCTGCGTATCGAGCAAATATATTGTTACGAGATTCGGTATAAAATTAATGGCGATTAAATTAACAACCAAACAGTTAAGTCAAGTTCAACTTGGCACAAGCCTTGTCATTTAAATAATTCACGGTGCCAATTAATCGCTTCGGATCTCACTAGTAGTTATCGCTTTCGTTGTATCAAAATGACTAATTCGGAACCGAATGGACCGATCTTTACAAAGGCGCACGCGCACGCACGTCACGCGGCGCGGGCTAAATGTAATTGTCGGATTAATGTTAATGAAGCTTAATTCGTTGTATCTAAAGTTGTTTCCAGTAATATGGTTCCGCACAAGCTGTTTGGCATTAGTAAGCAAATGGAGGAAAATGACAACCATTGTTTTATATTTATGTAGTAAGAAATTTTCCACCGTGAAGCGATTTATTACTGTATTGTTATTAAGATTTAACTGTTTAGTTTTGGTTGTCTGAATTATCCCTGCAGTCGACTGTATGTCGTTATTTTTACATGCAAATATTGAAAGATTTAAAGTCATAGTTTTGATGACTTTTCTTAATTTGTAATGTAAAAGATGTATTATATAAATAACATGTATTAAGAATAATTTATCTTGTGCTATAACAGTATCCGTTGTGTATTTACATTACGTAATTATATTATTTACTCATCTAATCTGCTTTTTATTGAACCCTTAATTGTTATTACATTTAAAAGGTAATGGAGGGGTGATTGAAATAACAAATTTTAAATATAATAATTTATTATTCTCATACATGATTCATATCAGTCATTGAGACAACACGGTGTGCCTTATAGTTTGAAAATAAATCCGCTCTGTCTGTCATGATATGTTCCCTGGGGCTGGTTCATTCGATCTGCCGTTGAACACAACATGCGCTAACGCATTTATATAATTTTCAAAGCTCGTAGGTTACACCTCTATGAGATTCCAATATGCAAAGACATGTAATCTGATTCGATTACAAAGCTAAAGTAACAATGTGGCCATCTTGTAATTTCAAAGACTAATTACGTAAAAACCAGATACTTCATAGTGAACCATCAAACTGTGCAATAATTATAAATGTTGACAACAATCAAATTAATGAAAAATCTGCTACAAAAAAAAATATCATGAAAAACGGCAATGGGAACATTCATGCTTCAAGTTGTCCAACACTTCGATCATGTTGCAATATAATAAATGTAGCGAGCATTTGATAATATATTTCTGATTTTTTAAATAATAAAAAAAAGTAATCAATACTTCGCTAAATATAAAATATAATATGCTATGCCTAAATAAAATAAGTGATCTAAAGAGTTAAATACAACTGTGTAAAGAAAATATTTGGTTAATCGCTCTATAACACCACAACCGGCAAGTGGCAGCAGACATCGAGCGATACCTATATAATAACATATTAAAAAAATACTGAACTCAAAATACATTACTGTAAATACATCTATGATTTAACTAGCTCCTCTTTGGAAGCCATAAATATGAGACCACTATACATATAGTCAGCGATAACAAATAACAATATCAAATAAATATGTGAAAATTCATGATGTCAAAGTTACGTCACTAAAGTGTGACATAAATAAGATAAACATAACAATGTCAAAAGAGAAAAATAGGCACAGTGTTTAAGTAGACAAACAACAAATAGATATAACGTAGCTTCTACAACCATTAATTTTATTATGTCAAGGACGGCGGCCCCCTTGCTCGCGGCATATAATAGATTGCACCCGGCGGCAAAATGCCGCTGATGTCGCGCGCCCGGGGGACGGGTAAGTAATACACTGACTAGACACATTACACAAACAATACAAAAACGATGTCTGCTGCTAAGCTATGAAAGAAAAATAATACTTAGAAAGATGATTTTACTAAAGCTAATATTGGTAAGTCCTCGTTTAAGTACACAAATAGTCATAATAAAAGCTATTAAATATAATAGTATTATCTAAAAACAATAAATGCAAGGCTATGGTCCTCGGTCCGCAGCGGCGGCTCTCAGCCGACAGTGCGGAACGCAAATTTGAGCTATGCAAATAAATTACACTAGTGTTAATATTGCAAATCAATTTCACTACTAGAGAACGGAACTCCCTTAAGTAACTACCTAGTACACCTGAAGGTTAAACGTATGAATCTAGTCTACACACTAAACCGGTAAAAATACCTACTAAGGGCGAGTGCCCACTACATGGAACGGTCGAACTAGCCTAAGTCCAGCGCACACTAGAAGAGTAACGTCATCGACGGGCGCGCGGGGCGCAGCTGCCGATATCACATCCGATAACGGAAACAAATATACAATTGTAACATTTCAATAATAAAATCCTTTGTAAATTTTGACTTAATTAATAGAAAGCCGGTCTACTCTGTGAGCAATAGCTTGAGCAATTCCAAAACCGAGAATTATATTTTGCGTATTTTTTAAGCTATATATCGGATAAGGGAGTTATGTATATAGAAGTGTTATATGAGGACGAGTGGACCGGCATCGATTGGACAAGAGATGGACTTGTTGTGGACGGCAGAGGGCGCTAGCGGCAACAGACAACCGGCCGCTGCGCTGCACTTTAACGAAACACGGAAACACTACGATACAACTAGAACAAGATGGACGAAAGTATACGGCGGAGGGCCACAATAACACAAACAACGTATCAACTATAGAACAGATTACATAGTCTTTTGCGCACACAATGGATGGACATCGATGAATAATTTTAGAAATTTTTTCTTGGACGTACTAAACATTTTCGTATCGAATAGAGGATTCGTCGCTTTAGATGTATACGCGTGACGCGTAATATCGATCGTACATATACACATATATTATTAATATTACTATGTATAATGTTAAAAAATAACATCGCGCAGCTTTACAATAAATCCTGTAGGGCTGCAGGCGAGGTGCGCCTGCGTCAACAACGGCAATAAATACATTCGAGATAATAAAAATACACCGATCCTATTACAAAAATACAGTTGAGACCTCAAATATGATGACGTGCAAATAGAATAATTATCATGAGGAAATTCGATATCAAAATACCGTCGAGCGCGGGCGACGACGACTCGTGAAGCCTAATTGTAACTAACCGGCGAGTGCTGTGCTCGCGTTTAAAATCAGTCAACTTTATAAATATAAACGTCGATTTAAACTCGGAAGGCCTCGTCGCTAAAGTTTAACTTTAATAGTAACCTAACGTTATTGCGATTCGTCGCCGCGCGTCATTGCACAGTTTGACGGTTCGGATGCGGAGTAACGCGAGCGACGAACGACTAGCGACGAGGTCTTCCGAAGCGACGCGATTACATTTTGTAATTTTATAAAACGTATAAATAATTTAATCTATACTATACCACGATCGCGGGACGCGCGAAATAAGGTTTATATTCACCCGCTTCGGACGTTCGCGATCGACTAAAGTAATAAGCCACCCCGAAAGTGGAAATGGAATCGATACGATCTCGATTCTGTAAATTGATCGATTGAATAATTCTGTTAGTGACATCTCTATTATAATTTCCACTTTCCGAGATCTGAGTTATATGAACACCTATCAATGGTGTTCTCGCATTTAAATCCGTACAATCTTTAAATTCACAGATGACTCAGAGTCATTCTCGTGAATGTTTATCATAACATTCAAACGTAAATTCCACCTCATACATATTGAAGAACGAGCAGGCCTATTCTGAAAATTCAATCAAAAGCATAATCATCATTATTTTATTAATTTTTATTTAGTATTTTTATCTGGCAATTCATGTCAGTATGTTCATCTCGAAGGTAGTCGTAAGTAATACGTACTCTACGTTAACTGTTTTGATTGAATAACAACCCCCCTCTCCAACACCAATCTTGCGATGTAACCGTCGATTCTAATAACATGGACAATTTAAATTGAAATAACAGGTTAAATAAAATTCATAAATTTTAACAAATCGAATCGAAACCGCGTAAAAAACGTGTACTGTCAAACTTTCAGAATAGGCCACGCAAATGATTCGCAATATCGAAACCATCGAGCGTAATATCCATAATTTTGACTCTCGTTCATTTTAACCTTATAATTTTAATAACAACAAACGCCCTTCTTATAAGACTACCGAAATCGTTTCATTCCGTCACACTTTGAATGGTGTGAAAAATCACGTTATATTTTTGCAGCTCTATTCCGTCTCCAAATCCTCGGAAATCCGATTTTTCTTGCATTAAATTTGCTTTAACGCGACGAAAGATAACGTCGTGACGCTAGTAGAACTCATTTTCACCATAACATTATGACGTCACAAATCACTACAACACAGCGTTCGTCACCGTCCGCATCAACTTTTCACTCCCCAGTTTTGTCGACACCGCATAGATAAGTGTAGAGATCAGTCATTCGATTTACCCGAATAAAATATAATCTGCTTTCGTCGCCTCATCCCCACGCACGTGTCGACTCGTTAAGTCATAAAAACGTTATGACGTCACTAGAGTTGGTTGCAGTCAGCTTTAATTCTCCACTTCGTATTTTTGACGACATCGAAACACTGCAGCGTCAATCTATTTCGTTATTTAACCGACCAACAGACTTCGGTGTGATTTTGTGGCATGGTCATCAAAAGTAGGTGAACGTATTTTAAATCGTATAATCGCCAAGGCCATATTACGTCAGTGGACTCCCTAGTTTGTCAACACTGTGGAGGGATATACTGGAGGCGTGTAAGACGAGTGGTAATGTTTACCCGACCAGCAGGCAGCGGTCCGGCTTGTCGGGGGCGGGGCGTGCGTGGGGGGCGGGGCGTGTGGGAGGGGCGTGGTGCAAAAGCGCGCGCAGGGCGGCGGCGGCGGCCTTGAGCGCGGCTACCAGTCGCTAGAAGTCACGCCCCCGTGCCCTGCCCCCGCCCCCCGCTTTGGGCACGCGACGAGTTCGCATCTCGCGGTCCACCTAAATCAACAAATAATTCTTCATTAACACAAACGCTAGGGAATGGAATATACACATATACTATTAAAATTATGCGCCTCGGTATATTTCGTGTTTATGAATTTAACCGATCAAGAAACCAATGTGTGATCGTCATTCTAGCCGCCAAGTGACGAAGTGACAGCACGCAATATTTCAGTATTAAGAATTGTATAGAGCTATAATACGCCAAATTACCTTATTTGAATATAGGTACTTAATTTATTCATACATAATTCAATTTTTTTTAATCTGGGGTTTTCATTTTGGTATCAGCTAATGGCAAGAAACACAGTATACTTTTATTTTATATTGGCTGACCTAATCTAAATTTAAGCGAAATGATTAATTATGTAATAACAACTCTATATAGATATCTTTAAAATACATTAGGATTGCCGAAGCTTGACGAATATAGCCGAAGTGCATAATTTAAATAGTATATGTGTACGTGCATTTTCATTGGTCGATAGGGTGCGTAATATTTCTGTAAAGCATCCCATAGGAACCACATTCAATATGTCATTTTACTTCGTCGATAAGTACTGAAGACGCTCGCAGGCATTATAACAGCCATTAACTATTGATTTTCATTAATACGGGTGTAGACAGTTAACGAAAGTAAATACATCTTTTTGTTGTAGTGATTTACTATACTATTACGTACAGATAGATATACTATTACGTATAATCACATTTTTATGCTAATTATATTTATAATATTGCTTAAAATAATCATGAAAAAAACAAATATTTTATACTTATTGTCACGTGACCACAACAGCGCGTGGTTTCACGCCCATCTACTCATATCTAAAAAATAAAGCTTATGCATACATAGAACGATATTAATTTCAGAGGGGCGTGACGTCATAGAGAAGCTACGACAGAAGACGGCATTTTCATTGGAATTTTTGAAAATTAAATTTATATTTAGATACCGATTTATATTAAGACAAGATAAAAATATTTAAAAAAAAAAGTCACCAACACCCCTATTATTATCTAACCTTTTAAGTGATGAAAATTAGCCTTATATCTGTCAAAAGTCTATATAAACTGTGTGTACATCACAGTTTATATAGCGATAGTCTCACCTCTAATTCCTCTAGACGTTGCGTGAGCGCCAACTTCTGCTGCACGGCTAGCCGCAGCAGTTGGTTGAGGGTCTTCTTCTCATCCTCCGCCCCAGCGAGCGCCTGCGTCAGCTCATCCACCTGGGTCACGTACTCCTCGCATCGAGCCGCAAACATTGCGCGCAAACCTATTTATAACAACATATCCCGTTATGCAGCTTTAGTTATGCTACTATTTGAATTGATGAACAATGGACTACTTGACAGTACGAGTGTAGATAGTAAACGAATATAATTACATTAATTTTTTGGTAGTGCGTAATACACTATTACCGACAATCACACTTTTATTCATATTATATATATAATATTGCTTAAATCAATTATGAAAAAATTAATATTTTATGCTCGTTGTCACGTGACAACAAACAGCACGTGATGTCACGAGCCTCTTACTCATATCAGAACTTAAAGAGTGGAACCTTATAATAGAACAATATTAGTTTCAGAGGGCCGTGGCATTATAGGGACGCAATGACAGAAGTTGGCTTTGTTGTGTGAAATTTTGAAAGCTAAATTGATTTTTAGATTTTAAACTTATTATACGAACGATACTATATAAATATTTCATGTATATCTATAAAATAAAAATATGTTATAAGTATAAATGTTGAAAATGGTGAATAATATGTAAACAATAACTATGTAGTCTAATTTGTAAATATGTTTTTGCAAAATCAACTTTCTATTTATAATCCGTGGATTACAAGAACTGAACCGCGGTCGGCCTTGACGTTGCATCGTGTTAAATAGACAATTAACAATTTTGACGCTTTTGAAAACATCAAATTTTGAAGCTTACAATATGTTATCACCAAAGTATATCCTATCTATTTCAAATGAAAATATTTAAAGATTCATTCAATCAGAGTACTTACTGGAGAACGTAGCGGCGTCCTCCTTCAGCAAACGTAACTCGTTACGCAGCTTGAGCATAGTCTCGGTGACTATCGTCTTCTCTGTCTCGTACTTCGACTTCAGGTTCGCGAGCGCCACCTCCGCTGTGTTCTTGTTCGACTTGAGTACCGTTCGCAACGTAGCGATCTGTTCGCGCTTCGTCGACAACAGCGACTTTAGTTTGATCACTTGCTCTTGCAAGTCCGCTAGTTCCGCCCCGCGTTCCTCCGTCTCCATAACTGTTGATATATATTTACTCTCAATTATAAAACATATATTAGCATGGGCTGTCAAACTAAGTTCAAAGCTCATATTGAAATACAAGTATCACAAATTATCAACCTAAATCGAAGGTCATAAGATTCTTTTTTTGTATATTTTAAAATATATAAAATTACGTAAATAATTTTAATGTCTAAAAGTTCTAAATTGTACACCAAAAGTAGTACGCAAAAAATCTTATAAACTGTTACGATAACTCTTAATGAGTACATAAAAATAGGTACATATGGTAGCAATTCTGTTGCACAAACTAGACTAATTATTTTATTCCTGTCGACGTTTTCAACTGCGTAAATAACTAACAGGAATAAACGTATAATATACAAGAGTACAATACTATATTTTTTTTATGACAACTATATAACGTTACAGTAAACTCAAAACTAAAATATTTTTAGACAGTGATACAACAGAATTGGCACTACAATACAATTATGAACTAATATCATGTAATCGCATAATACCGCACTACGTAATACTCTAACTACAAATAGAGGGATTGCTCATACATTGGACAACATTCTTGTTTACATGATATACTGCATCATCAACATGCACGAGATCAGACTCGATCGAAGACCGTCCCTTATGTTACCAAACATATTCTTATGTATCTCCACTACGTCACTTCGCTTATAGCTTACATTTCCACCTCTATGCAGCGCATCTTTCCATATATAATGCGGGCTAATCTGACGAAACGCAACTTTCTTTGTTGTATTTGAGTTTTTTCTCACACAAGGCAAATTAGCCTTAGGAATAAACGAAAGAGGGTTTCTTTTCTCATATCTGTCTAAACATTCCCATGACGTATTTCCGCAAATTGACTTAAATTGGTTGTTAGAATCTATTGCTTGTATACAGGTAGTGTTTGATATATTCTCGAAGTAATCTGTTATTTCTTTCACACTTTTACCGGTGCAAATAATTTGTTTTCCATTACAATTTCTGTCGAAAGATTTGAAGTGACCTATTAGGTTTGTTAGTTTCTTCCTATTGTCGGCGATCTTTAGTTTCAAGTTATTTTGTTCTTTAGTTCTTTTCATTGGACAATTGTATATATGCTTCCATGTAGAGTTATTGCATTGATCGTTCCCTGCGGATGTAAGATTGAAGTACAATTTTAAAACTCTGAATTGAAAATATGCAGCCGTACAAAGAGACACGATGATGACGTCAGACGGTTTGATTGGCAATTTATCTTCAAAAAATAATTGTTAAGACAATTTCGGGTATTTTGGTACCTATATCATAAATGCTCAAAGAAAGACTAGCATGGATAAGACAATTTTACGGAAATTATTTCCGGATTCATCTTTCGAATTAAATTTCAGATTCTGGATATTGCTTATGTCGTAAGTATAACATTATTGCTATTCAATTGACAATTGAAAGCAAGGTATCAAATTTATTTATCTTACTACCATTTATCTTTTTGATACTGAATTTCATTCTATACTTTGATAAATCAGAAATTTTTATGTTCCCGAACATATAGTCATTTCATATCATTGACCCAATTTCAATCTAATTACTCCAATCACTGAAAAACATCACATTTTCAATAATAAAAAGAAAAATGTGAATTGTATGTGTCTATGGCGAGTGACGAGCACATGCAGCTACTGTATCCATATGTGTTTTGGTATATGACGTTATACCGGATTAGTGTCTATGGCGAGAGTCGGGCGTGTGCCGCAGATGTGTCGACTGATCGAGCAGTGTATCCGTTTAGTGTTTATGGCGGTAGTCAAGAGCAGTGTCGAGCGCTTGCCGTAGATGTATAAGCTGATGGAGTAGCGTATCTTTCGAATGTACTCGTGTCTATGTGTGTGACGTCATACCTGGCTGGTGTCTATGGCGGGAGTCGAGCGCGGTGTCGAGCGCCTGCCGCAGATGTGTCAGCTGATCGAGCAGTGTATCAGCTGATCTTGCTACTACACCAGCAGCACGTAGTCCCTCCAATTCTCCGGCGGCCAATGCCAACGCCTCGTCCTCGACACTCCTGCCTTCGGAACCGCCTCCTAAAAACGTATAAATATACACATTTAATTTATCACATACACATTTATTATCCGTTGAGAGCAATGCTCAGGACACTAGAGCAAAGCTGACCCGACATCATACCGAGGAAATCCCAGATATCAGCCTGTACGAGATTAGAATGGCACTCAAACAGCTCAAAAATAACAAGCCACCGGGGGATGACGGAATCACTACTGAACTTTTGCGAGCGGGTGGAAAACCGGTACTGTTAATCCTCCAGAAATTGTTCAATTCCGTCATTCTCGAGGGCACGACGCCAGAAGCGTGGCACAGAAGCGTGGTTGTGCTCTTCTTCAAAAAAGGTGACAAGACCTTGTTGAAGAATTATAGACCAATCTCGCTTCTGAGCCACGTATATAAGCTGTTTTCGAGGGTCATTACGAATCGTCTCGAACGCCGGTTTGATGACTTCCAGCCTCCCGAACAAGCCGGTTTCCGAAAAGGCTTTAGCACCATAGACCACATACATACGCTGCGGCAGATTATACAGAAGATCGAGGAGTATAATCTGCCACTTTGCTTAGCGTTTGTGGACTATGAGAAAGCCTTCGATTCAATCGACCTGGGCAGTACTGCAGTCCCTCCAGCGATGCCAAATCGACTACAGGTACGTCGAAGTGTTGAAGCGTTTGTATAGCAACGTCGATTCGCTACCAGGAAGAGAGCACGAAACCAATCCAATTGCGCAGAGGCGTGAGACAGGGAGATGTCATTTCTCCGAAACTTCTTCAAGCTCTTGGAATGGGACGAATACGGCATCAACATCAATGGCGAATACATCACTCACCTTCGTTTCGCCGATGATATAGTCATCTTGGCAAGATCGATGGAGCACATCAGTACAATGCTCAGCGACCTGAGTATCGTTTCCAAACAGGTGGGTCTTAAAATGAACATGAACAAGACGAAAATCATGTCGAATGTCCATGTTGCACCCGTACCGGTGGTCATTGGAACTGATACTCTCGAAGTTGTCGATCACTACGTGTACTTTGGACAGACAATCCAGTTAGGTAGATCCAATTTCGACAAAGAGGTCGCTCGAAGAATCCAACTCGGCTGGGCAGCGTTGCGGAAGCTACGCGATATCTTCACGTCCAAATTACCACAGTGCCTAAAGACGAAGGTGTATAACCAGTGTGTGTTGCCAGTGATGACCTATGGCACTGAAAAGTGGGCCTTAACTGCTGGCCTCTTAGAGAAGCTCAAAGTCGCTCAGCGAGGCATGGAGAGAGCTATGTTAGGGGTTTCTTTGCGCGATAGGATCCGAAACGTGGATATCCGCCAAAGAACTAGAGTGACCGACATAGCTCGCAAAGTTTGTAAGCTGAAGTGGCAGTGGGCAGGCCACATCGCTCGACGAACCGATAACCGATGGGGACGAAAGGTTCTCGAGTGGAGATCACGAACCGGAAGACGCAGCGTGGGTCGACCCCCGACTAGATGGACGGACGACATCATCCGAGTCGCGGGCGGCCACTGGATGCAGTTGGCGCAATGTCGTCCGTCGTGGCGTTCAAAGGGGGAGGCCTATGTTCAGCAGTGGACGTCCTCCGGCTGATGATGATGATGATGATGAATTTATCCCTTAGAAGTTTTATGACGCAGTTGTAAACACATTTAACCTGCAGTTGTGGTTAAACGTACAGTAGCTTTTGGAATGTGGAATGTGCAATGTCTTAACATTACAAGGAACATGTCATGTCATGTGTTAACAAAATCCAGTGAAAAACCACGTTTTATTTATAAATGTACTAATACTTCATAAACGATTTATAAATAATGCAATCAATTTACAATGCTATAAATGAAATAGACACATTATTATGGGAAATAAAAAAAAACTATTTGTTGATTTAAACAGTAGAAAGGAACACCAAACTTTCACACGGAGTCAGCTTACATTATCGATTTCAAATGTAATCAATCTAAAGGAACATGTTTTATAGTAATTGATAACTTTATTTGGAAAGTTAGTTTAAAACCGCAAACATGTTTCTAATATCTGAATTCTATAAGTCATAGGGTTGTCAAGTAAAAATAATGTCAGCTTTATTAATATTTTCCATTTTTTTGTCAAAATATTTTAATTAATTTATGGCAATAATTTTTTTTTTATCATCATCTAAGTTGTGATGACCCTAATTTTGATTTGGTTACGTTTATTCTTCAACGAATCAAACTGGAGTATAGGTATGATGATGAAATGACAATGACTTACCGTCGGCGTGTCCAGCGTGCTCCAGTAATAATCTTTCCGGCTGAGTTCCGTTGATGGCGCACACGTGATGATAGATCTGAGCGAGGGTCTCCGCCGCTGAGGACAGCGCTGGCGCCGCAGTGGATAACGCACGTCCGGCACCTAGCAAACATACAAATATTGATCAAGCAAATCTCTTCAGTTTCGATTCGATATATATATAAGCATAATTTCCTTATATGAACGAAAACGTAGATGTCAAACTGTCAAAAAAATCACTGACATAATTAATTGGTTTACAGCAATAAATTATCTTTTCGAAGATTACTCGTTGTAAGTAACTTAGCGACAAGTTAAAACGTTAAAATTATACTTCATTAGTCGAATTTCATTATTTATGTACGCAATATATATATATATATACGCAAACACGCTCGCTCGCACGCACGTACGTTTGTGTTATACGCTATAACGCATCGCATGTAGTTACTTTCAAAAGACTACACAAGACGTCATCCGTAAATTACGTCACACGTTAAGGGAGATGAAGGGAGGTCTACAAATTGTAAAAATGTAAATAATTAAATCGACTAATGAAGTATAATTTTAACGTTTTTCTCTTCACTAAGTTTATTATAACGACTAATGTAAAAAATTATAATTTATAACTTTAAACCCACTAATTTGGTTAATAGGGGCTCATCATACGACAAACACACCAGGAACTCATCGCCGGCCAGCGTCCGACTGCAGCGCATCATACGACACACCCACACGCAGTACTCACTATGGCTAGCGTCCGTCTGCAGCGCATCATACGACACACACGCAATACTCACCATCGGCCATCGTCCGCCTGTAGCTCATCATGCGACACACACGCAATACTCACCACTGGCGAGCGTCCGCCTGCAGCGCATCATACGACACACCCACACGCAGTACTCACCACGGCCAACGTCTGTATGTAGCGCATCATACGACACACATGCAATACTCACCACCGACCAGCGTCCGCCTGTAGCGCAACATACAACACACACACGAAGTACTCACCACTGGAGAGCGTCCGCCTACAGCTCTTCATACGACACACCCACACGCAGTACTCACCACGGCCAGCGTCCGTCTGTAGCGCATCATACGACATACACGCAATACTCACCACCGGCCAGCGTCCGTCTGTAGCGCATAATACGCCACCCACACACGCACACAGTACTCACCGCCAGCCAGCGTCCGCAGCAGGTCAGCGTCGGCCTGCAGCGCGGCGCAGCGCACCTCCGCCTCCGCGAGCCTGTCGCTGAGTTGCGCGAGCTGTTGCCGCGCGAGGGCCGCGGCGGGCGCGTCGGCAGCGGTCGCGCCCGCCCCAAGCTCAGCGAGCGCCGCACCGAGCGCCTCCAGCTCACCGCCAGACACGCGCCACCAGGTGAGCCAGCGGCCAGCGCGCGACGATATACCTCCCTCGGTCTTCTCGTCTTCCTGCATTAAAAAAAAATTGTGGTCATCCTAAAAATAAAAGCGTAATAACACATATCACTTTATTTTAAATATTAATGTATAATTTTTGCAGATAACACAAAATAAAATATTTTCAGTTCACAATTAGCTTTAGTCATGTGTACGCATTATGCTACTGCTCCACTAGCATCGGCGTTAAGGTTAACTATATTGAGATTACAATGCAGTTAAGAGTAATTTCCTCGTGAAGTAACAAGGAAAATACACTGAGACGGTAATTACTTTCCTCGAGCTCGAAGCAGCTTGAAAAAGCAATTTATTATAATTTTTATGTTTGCTCAATGTTCTCATTGAAATCTATTAAATTTAAAGTTGCAAGGAAACACCACCCACAAATAAATAACGTTATACACAATTGTCCTTTAATTATGTTATACTGGTCAACCTGGAAACTACAAAAATGTAATAAATGATATATTTATTTATTAGTGTGCTCTTGATGTTTTTTAAACACTCGGCTTGCACTGATCGATTTGAAAAGAAATTGATTTACAATTTCAGAAGATTATTGTTTAACATCTCTGCACAAAACAGTAGTTAGTACCTCAAGGATGACTTCTAGGACCTCATTCCTTTTAATTCAGGTTAGTTTTATATTATGCTTTGTTTATTTCTTACGATATGAAATTCGATATTATCACAGAATCTCAAATTAAGCTAGAGTTCCACAATAAAACTGAGACATAAATAATTTAAAAAAAAAATTACCAATGGCGCGCAATCTCCGTGCAGCGCATGTAACGCTGTAACACGCGATGCAGCGCGCGTGAGTCCAGCGCGTAATATTGCAGCGATTGCGCTTTCACTCTCCGCCGTCGCTTGTGCTGTACGCATCGACGCTGATAATTGACTCTGTTGACGATACATACAAATAAATTCGTTTTTAATATACCGCAAAAAAAAATGGAAAAAAAATTCATATTGTTGAGGCAAATAACAATGTCAAGTAATTATAAGTGCTTTATAAAGAAACGATTTTGGTGTATATACAGTTAAAGTTGATTGATAAAGAAACTAAAAAAAAACCTTAAATTTGATTTCAAATAATTTTCTCATTTTTAAACAGTGAATCATGCAACTTTTGCAGTTACGTCATTCACCGTTTATAATCAACGCTTGAAAAACAATGATGACGACAATGATTGTTCAAAATGACATTTAAATGGCAATAATTATAAAGGGCACGGGTTCATTTTGAAAAAATATATTATGTCAGGAATAACCTCAATAAGGGGGAAAAGGTCCGGAATCCAGTTACATCCAGTTACAAGGAGACCGCGAACCCAACCTCATCACTTTGGGCCTCTATATCCCGCTTTAGGAGAATATAAATATGCTAAAATTCTAGAAAAATACTGTGTTTTTTACATTTTCGTTGTGCGCCTGTTCAAGCTGCTTCTCGAGTCTTGATATCTCGTGTAGATGTACTTCTGAGAAGAGATCAGCGTGATGGTCACCCATTGCATTCGCCAGTTCCGCAGAACTTGAACCGCCCGGTTCACCTTCATCCTCTGTGCTATCTTCTGGCATACCTGTAGTTTAACTTACAAATTATGCTCATAATAACAAATAATTCTTTCAAATAAACTTTTCTTCAAATAAAGTACGAGTATATCATACCAATCTATAATGCAATATGTTTCGATCACGAAATGGTCAAAATCACGATATGGTTTCTGTTGAATTCCTAAGAATATTCTTGTGTTATTTGCAAAACTCAGTGCCAAATATATAAATGCGTATAAACTTCAAGTAGGAACCAACTTAATACAGCAAAATATCTGTACCTGATTTAGAAAGGATATTGTTTTAAACAAAGATATTTTTCGAACCATTGTTTGCTTTCGTTTTAAAATTATTTAATTCTTAAAGTACACACGCAGATTGGAACACGGCTAAACATCAGATTACTAGAATAGATCAAGTTTCTGCGATTGATTTTGAACTCTACCATCAATGTATTAAGTTTTAAAATCAAGTGGAGAAGTTTGAAAGCAAGTATAAACTGACATCATACAATTACAATCTCAGTTCAAACCTACATTGCAGCCCTTATAGCGTACTAAATGATTTGTTATAACTAATAGTTATAGCTTACCTCGTATACTGTACGCCAAATTAGTGATATTGTAGGCGGCCTCCCTACTGAGATGAGCGTCCAATTCTTTTTTAGCTGCGAACTTTGCCTCGCGTTCCGCTTGCAGCGCTTCCAGCGCTTCAGCCAGCTGTCGTTCGGCGATACGTCGCAAAGCAGCGGTCTCGTCAGCGGCGGCACGAGCGTTTTCCGCTTCTTCACGCAGTTGTCGAACTTCATGTTTTAACCCTTCAAATTCAACCTATAGGAAAGGCAGTCATCAGTTTGTTAATATAGAACGGATCTATTTTTGCCGCGACGCAACATGACACATACAATGTGTTTCTACCTTCATTTTCACATTTAAATGTAACGCAATGCTACATGTGCATATGTATAACGCTATCACTCACTATGAGCGCATTTTCACGATTATTTATACACTTATCAAAAAAAGAGTATCATCTGAGTTTATGATATTAGGTAATGTTACTATTTATTTGTTAGAGAATATTACGCAAAGCTCGGAGTAGATGGCAGCACTAGCACATATTTTAAAAACAAACGTTTCATCGTTTGGAAATGACTGATTCCCTTACTTCTTACACTCGAATATGCAGCAATGGTGTTGTTATTGTTATTGCATAAAATTAAACTATTTCTAATCATTTATTAAAAAAAACAGTACTATAGTGTGCGCGGAAGTGCTAGTCACCGCCTGAGGTATGCGGGGTAATCAAAAAGATCCTATTAACGCTTCTTATCAACATCTCGACTCGCTTACAGAATTCTAATACATATTCTCAGCCGGGTAGCCACCAAAGTCTATACCAGAGGTTCTCCGACAATTTTTTCTCGTAGACCCCCTGCTGCTACATTTTTACCATATTCCTAAAATTCGTCGTAAATGTGAAGATCTAACGATGAAAATTAGCGTCGCGGGTGAGTTCCGACCCTAAATTCGCCTCTTTTTTTATTTCACGCCAACGTAGACCCTCGTCGAATCCCTCGTGGACCCCTGGGGTCCACCTGGACCACTTAGGGAATCACTGGTCTATACCATTGCTATTTCCCAGAATTTTTATCTCTTCTGGGCTGATAATGTCTGTATTAGTAGCTTAAGTGTACACACGTACCTGAGAGCTCCTCAAAGCAGAGACTTGCTTCTGCAGCGAGATGTTCTCATCCTCCAGGTCACCTATGTCCACTAGTAGCCGTTGTTCACGCTGGCGTGCTTCCCGCAGCTCCGCACGTAACGCCACCCGCTCCGCTTCCCGCGTACTCTTGTCCGCGCCCAATTCAGAGCTTTCCGCTAGCAAGCGGTCCCGCTCGCTAACCACGCGGTCTAGCTCGTGTCGTAACTACAGGGAAGATTAATATTAAAATCAATGTTCATTATTGTATTATTGTTAATCTACCGTCCGTAATCTGAATGAGGTTTTTATGGAAGTCTTAGGTGAAAATCCTTTTCTCCTATATTTTTTGAAAAAATGTAAGGACCTGTTCAACGATATTAAGATCTTATAATCAGACGTGTTCGATAAACTTTAAATATGCCTTTCATGCTTCTCCATCCGCGCAATTTTCGTAAAAAACAGGTCTCAATTTTTTTATATTCAATACAGACAAGTACTCATTATCTCTTATGAATTAGCTAAGAAATATAAATTATATGTAGTATATTAAGTACATATAAACAAAATTAGTTTTATGCAATTACTAGCTGTGATCCCGCAACTTGACACGCGTAAATTATAGCCTGTATCAACCCCGTATGTTGTAACTACCCGTAAGAATTTAACGGGTAGCTCCCGTAAGAATTTTTGAAATTGGTCCAGCAGTTTAGAAGCCTATTCGATACAAATCAGCAAGCTAACAAACAATCAAAATTTTCCTCTTTATAATATTAAGTATTGTAATACTTAAATATGCCACGCTCTTCCAGTTCTGCGCTTCCGGCACTATTAGAATAATGTGACAAATTAAACTATGCTCAATTTTCTACTTGAACGGTATTATTTAACTACATCTCGTCAATAAGAAAAAGACCCTAGCACTGGCTGAGTCATCCAGGCACTTAGCTAATTTGCCGTGCATCATGTTAACATTTGTGAATCAGACATGGCGCTCGCCGCACCCTCGACTTGCCGCTCGTAAATTTCGTAGTAGGTTGACACTACCATAATTATTGGATATTGGCAAGCTTCAAAATTTTTCGGATGTTAAGACTAGATAGATAGATTAAAACATGCCCAAATAAAGAAATAGTGTATTTTTAGGACAATATTTAAATTTTATAACTATTTATCTTCGTCATATATATAGGGTTTTAGAAATAAAGCAACATCTTTTGTTTCTTCAAATCGGATAAAGAGTAATAATTTATAATTTATTTTTAGTCGTATTGCCTAAATAAGTCTGTTCAACCAAATCACGTATTCACGTAATCACATATTCAATGCGAAATAAGATACCTATATTTATTATGTTTATAACTGTTTACATATAATTGTTATATCAATAATTGATAAAGATTTATTTGAAAACCTAATAAATTTACTAAATAATCCTATGAATATTAGGTCCTTATATACGAAATTGGCGTTTGTCGTATTGGCCACTTAATCACAAATTTCTCCTCCTTGGTTGGGAATTCCAAATTCATATTTATACATTTACACAAGTATTTGTGTTTCGATAGGCGACATTCATTTGTTTTTTTCTTCTGTTTGTCCTATTTACGTCACCCACTATAAAAAATGGAAAACTTGAAATATCGTGTTACTTACGAGAACGAGTTCCACCGTGGTACCCATGCTGGGGAAACGTCTCGAAGGGTTAATGTGTATGGCAGTTGTGTCGCAAAAGAAAACACAGTGCGTTTTTGGTTCCAAGGTTTTCGTTCTGGAAATTTCGACCTGCAGAACAAGCCCCGTGGACGGCCGGACCCAAGTTAATAGTGAAGGATTGAAGGCTATTGTGGAAGCGGATCCATCGCAAACCACGTCCGAGTTAACTGCAGGCTGCGGTGTTAGTGATAAAACTGTTTTAATCCACTTGAAGCAATTTGGAAAGATTTTTAATCTTGAAAGGTCAACCTCACGAATTGAGTGAAGCGCTTCGACTACTGCGTTAAAATTACTTAACCGACACTATAATGAAGGGTTTTTAAATCGAATCACTACCTGTGATGAAAAGTGCATTCTAAGCGCAATCGTAAGCGCTCATCGCAATGGTTGGACCCTGGCTTGCCAGCCAAATCCTGCCCCGAGCGAAAATTTACCCCAAAAAGTTACTTTTAAGCGTTTGGTGGACTAGTGCCGGTGTCGTTCATTACAGTTTTCTCAAATCTGGCCAGACGATTACGGCAGACGTCTATTGTCAGCAATTGCAAACCATGCTGGAAAAACTAGCTGATTAACAAACGAGGCTGGTCAATCGCTCTACGCCACTGCAGCTTCACGACAAAGCTAGACCACACACTGCACAACAGACGGCTACCAAATTAGAAGACCTTCAATTGGAATGTCTAAGACATCCACCGTACGGGGAGTACTGTTGGACTTTGCACCAACAGATTACCATTTTTTTCGAAATTTAGATAACTTCTTGCAAGGGAAAAAATTCAACTCCAATGGGGCAGTGCAAATTGATTCTCGTCCGAATGGATTTTTTTAGTAAAGGGATCAATGCACTACCTATGTGATGGCAAAAGTGCATAGATAACAATGGTTTATACTTTGATTAAATAAATAAATTATATTAAAAAATATTCGACTCTTTGTTCCTCCCATACCAAACACCAATTTCATATGTAAGGACCTAATATAATATTTAAATTGTACGATACCATTTCTTTGATGGTGAAATGGTGAGGTGACTGATTTTCAAACAATAAGAAAGTAATCTGAGATTGTAATAATGAAATCAATATTCACAAATAACATTATATAAATTAAACTACCTACAACGGGTTGACGTGCTTCCTTGTGAAAGTTAGTTTCTTTTTTATTTTTAATGTTGGATTTAGAGTTTCTTTTGTTAATTCTAAATAGAATAAAAATTATACATTAATATTATATCTTATCATACTGTTTTGATGTTAAAAGGATATAGCCGGTTAAGCACATGAAAACTGCACTCGCGTCTGATGAAGGGTTTGATTTTTATTTTTGCAAGCTATGTACCACCAAATCGACCCTTTTGTGACTTTAACATGTAACAGATAACTAATCAACTAATAAGATATTTTTTGGTAAATATTTTTCTCGTTTTTGAACGTTTTTAATACTGCAAAAATATATTATAATAAGTTTATCGATACTCACGTACAGTTTCAAATTCACAAAGATATCTTCTATAGGGGCTGAGAAAAAAAATTACATTCAGGGATGTTACCACTATTATTCCTTTACTATAGTTAAGGGTGTGAGATTAAGTGTATGGCTATATTAGATGAAAAACAATAAAAGCAAGATAATAAATAACCCTTCATCAGATAAAAAAAATCAGATGCGAGTGCAGTTTTCATATGCTTAACCAGCTAGATCCTTTAATCTTAAATTGAAAGGAAGACTTTTTAAAAACATAAACATTTTAAACGATTTTTTGTAGCAACTCAAAAATAGTAGCGGACACAATCCGATAGGCAATTTTTTATCAAAATTGTAAATGATTTTTATATCATTCAATATGCATGTTTAGTTGAGATAATTCTACAATACTGAAATAAGATTGTACCATATTTATTGGAGAAAAAATAATTTTTTTTTGATTGAATGAAAAATAATTGATATAAATGTAGTTTCGTTACTAAAACTATGCTAAATTTAGGGTGTAGTCCTGTCAAACTGCATTTTCAATTGTAAAAATAACTACGATAACATTAAGTACTCTTATTTTATAGTACTATAAAAGAGTATAATCATATTTCTTTGATTACATGTGAGAATCGCCAAAACGAGCCCCGGTTAAAAATTTCACATGAGTTCAGATTGTAATATAACAGTATTGGCACCAATTTAAATTTAAAAAAAAAATCATACTGAGCCAGTCTCCTTAATGGTCTGAACAAACAGTAAAGATAACGATAACAGAAACAGTCTTCATTATTCGTCATACAACGTCTACGGTGAGCTAAAATTGTGAATTCATGTACCTAATATACAAAATCATCATTTTCACTTCTAATTAAGTGAAAGTAATGCATACGCTGTATGTCTATTAATTTAATACCAAAACGCTTTCTTATATAAGCAAACTGGCCACTTTTATTTCAAACAATTTACTGCAAGCCTCATACATAATTATTTTAATATTTTTTTTACACAATGGGCGATGGCAAAGTTACTTCTGGCATAAATATGTATGTCAACAAATAATACTATTGTAATACGCAAGTTTTATTATTAACGGCTATAAATGGGTCTCAATTGAGTAAAGTTTATTCCACCCTCTGGCAGATGGCCAAACGCTAAGCAAACGTCAACACAGTTCCATTATCTACGTAAACATGAAATGTGAGAGTTGGTTTAGCAGTCCACACCGACCGGTGAATGAAAATTCGCAAATGCATGTACCTCTTCACTTTCGTTCATTTTCCACAAGTTTACTGTAGCATTTTCCGTTGGGTACACATTTTTAACAGCACCATTCACACACAAACCTCACCGACAAAACACTTGTGCACAATACCATCGTGCATTTCAAATTCTACACACCATTGAGTATTTCGTTGTGATGTGAATCAAGGCCAGTTGAATAAAAAAGTATTTCTGGATCGGTGTTATGGATTCCCGTACGGCGCTTACGCCATTGGCGGCATTACATCACGCACTATAGAGGTCTTTGTTTCTCACTCATATTAACAATGATTAATTGTATGATTAATCACGTTATCGATACGAAAATATGCTCTTATATGAAGCGATTTTATATTTGAAAAATGTTTCATAAGAGTTAGTTTTCAGTGTATCGGGACGTCGACTCACGCGCACTGACTAGAGGGCCGCCGAACGATGATTCACATAAATTGGTCCCGTTTCATTAAAACGAACGTAGTCAATCGTCAGTGGCTGGTCGTCTGGGGACATTAAATATTGTTTAATAAGAAAATGAGACGGGAGATGATCATGCACCGCGTTTTTAAACTGCTCCGCCAACCCGATGGTTGGTCAAAGTTAGTAGTTACAATTTGCATAAAATAAGTTTCTTTGATGTCATTTTTTACTGATAACATTTCCGTAATCTAGCTTAAATATCCACCAGCTTCAGGCAAAAGTTATGAGATGAAATAATGGTCAATGATGATTCAATAATGGTTCTTTTAAACATAGTTTTTCTCTATATCTCATACATTAACAAAAATATCTGTCTCCATTGATTTAGTTGAAGAAGCAGTAGTAAAATGCAATGGGCAATGAAGCAATAGGCAAAATGACGAGTATTTTTTTTTTGTTTGTCCGTCAGTTCGATTGCTGAAAAATATTTAACGAATATTTTTTATTTTTTACGTAATCATTAAATTAAGGCGATACAATTTCGCATGACGTCAAAGCTTTGGTACTTTTTCTACAAAACGTTCTACACCCCTCTACTTTAATATTATATAAGCTGTTTCTTGTTAAATTAAAGTGTATAATATTTTATATAATATATTTTTCTATTATCTTTCTGAGGGACTAAATAGAGTTTCTTTTTTTACCACTATCAATTTTGTTTTTCAAAAAGTGTAAATAAACAAAAAAATACTTATTAAATAAGTTATGACATTAATTTATTGTTAATTAATATATTGGCCCGCAAACACAATTGTCAGTATGGTCACTAAGATTTATACATCATCATTATCATCTTTGATTAAATTAGGAATAATGCATATTCATTTGTATTAGCAGAAAATACTTGAATGTATAGTAGGTACCATCGCATGCTGAATTAGATCTGATTAGGTCAAGCCGGTTATATGTGTTGCAGTCAAGTTGTAGAATACTTCGTAATTACAAAACGGCAATATTTTTAAAACAGATCTGCCTAGCTAAGTTAGCGATTAAACAGATTGCATTACGACTGCAATCTGAATAGCCACATTGTAAATACATCTTGCGTTCGTGGTTGAATAACATAACCTTAACTCAACAAAGACATACCACATTAAGTAAAATTAAGCTAACCAAAACAATATAAAAACAAAATTATTTAATCTACTTTGTTCGTATTAAGAAAGCGATAGATATGTCATTTCATTATTCAACGGACATAAAATAATAGTTAACTTGCGGATTTATATATTTTAAACAGAATCGTCGGCGCTTCATCCTATTAGGTTTTCAATCTGTCTGGAAATCACCGACTTTACCCTATTGGTAGACGTCGAGGGAGCGTTATTTCGCACATTGTAGAGATTAATCTTTTTCAGCGTTATCTATACATGTATAACAGCGACGTAGTATAGGTACACTAAAGTGAAATAAAAAGAAATTTGGAAAGTATTTATTAATTTTAGCTTACACCTCGGAGGCCCCGTATAATTGATACGGCCGATGCGGCGGTAGCTACGCCCCTGTGTGTAAAACAGTGTAACTTCCCGCTGTCAATGCGCTGAGATATTTTATATTACATAACGGATTACAATGCTGTTTTCACAAATACAGTAATTCAGGAGGATGGTGTTATGCATGATACAGGACCCAAGCGAAGTCGCTGACTAATTGAATATACGTGTAACAGATATTCTATTCCTGTCATTTCAAAATTCACTTATGTCACGAAAAGATATTAATTACCAATTCAAGATTGAGCGGGTGCCGCTTTTTGTAGTGACTTGGGACATCAGAATGAATTCGAATTCGGGTTTGGTTTTTTACTGAATCACAGGGCTGATCAAATCATGAAAATTCTTTCACCTACGGGAAGCTACACCATACGCGACAGTCTACAGTTAAGCGAGCGAAGTCGCGGAAAAACAGCTAGTTATAGATAAACATTAAAGGCCGCATATTTAAACGCGTTTTTTCGACAAACGTTACGTAGCCTATCAAAATAGTTAGCGATTTTTTTATATTTTAATGGATTCCACTATTCAGCTAATGCGACTTAATAAATATATAGTAATAATCTATATCTGTACTATAATAAAAACGTAACCGATCGATGTCTGTACATTGAAGATATATGAAACATACTGTTATGAGAACATTTATAAACGTAACAGAACACAAAACAAAGATTTTTTAATTTTTTGTCCGTTTGTCTGTGCGTTTGTGCATGCTTATCTCAGAAACGGCTCAACAGATTTTAATGCAGTATTCACTATTGTATTGTGGTAACTTTCCGTTAACATTTAGTGCAGTGTATTAAGGTTTATTTCAATCGGTTCATAAATAAAAAAGTTATAACACTTTGAAGTACTGTGTTCGCCAGAATTGCTATGAAATTAATTGCTTTATTAAATTTTAGTCTCTAATAATATTATCATCGTCAGCTCTTTTACATCCCCATGCTGAGGACTTTCAGACATTAAAAGAACAGTTGAAATAGCGTAAATATCACTAATACGAGTATACCTAATGTATGATAAAAATGGTCAGACACAAGGGCAGAGAGAGAATAGAAACATAGCTATCGTAAGGGCCGTTCATATGGTGGATGACCAGACATTTTTATCTTTAGCTCCTCCGTGCTTCGCAGTGCAAGTTAACCCGTTCGTCCCGGCTGTATCAGTAGTCGTTAACACCCACCAATTCGCATTGGGCTCTCGTAGTACTCGATTCGATCCCAACTATAGGAAAGAAACAATTCTCCTGATTTCCCACGCAGACGAAGTCGCGGGCACAGCTAGTATAGCAATAAATGTAATTAGTAAAAATATTAGTTTGTTTTCTATAAAGGGTGAATCTACACAATTTTAATACAAGAAATAAATATACAATAACGGTGTTTTAAGAGTTATTTATGCCGTCAACATTACGGAAATAGTTACACGCAGCTGTATTGCCGATGACTATGATTTATTTGTTACACGTGAATACCGAGCAAGACACTGCTTGAATCGTCAATCATTTTTTCCCTACCGCTCGTTCAGGATGTCTTTTGGCTGACAAGAAGAACAAGCAAGAAACTCACCAGTTCTAATAGGATTAATGACATTTACAAAAACCGTGTCATTACCAGATCAATACATAATAAATAGAGAGAAAAAAAAATGATGGTCTTATAATGATAAAATAATCATTTAATAATAATGGAAACAAGATAATTTTTTATATATGTATAATGAGTTAAAAAAGTAATCACCTATCCAGTTGCTGGATCATCTCAAGTCCAAGCATTCTTATCTGTTATATAATCGGATACCGTAAAATAAGCTTTAGTTTTTATTTTATACTATTAAAATTATAAGATTTAAACTGCATGATATCTAATTGTTGTATTTTGCTTGGGACCTTATTGTAGAAGCGCACACAAAGACCCCTGAATGAGTTCTTAACTTTTTGCAATCCAGTGACAGGCATTTTTATTTCTTGTATTAATATTGTGTATATCACTTTTTATAGAAAACAAACTAATATTTATTGAGAAGCTAGTCATTATGTCTATTTCCTTAAATTTCTCCTTGTTGTAATGTAAAACCCTTTTTTATGGACTGATCTAATATTATTATGGCTCATTTTAATCAAATTACTAGAATGTTACATGTAGGAAACTATTCTATGTATTAAAATAAATGCAAAATTCATAATATACCTGTTTTGTTTCTCCCTCAAGCTCCAGTATTTGAAGTGTGAGGGAGCTCTCCATCGCAGCGGACTCATTGAGGAGAGCATTTTCTTGTTCTATTCCACTTCTTGTAGTTACTTTCTGTGTTGTGTCTAGTTTCATAAGAGCCTGGTAAACAAAATGTTATAATATTAGTATTTACAAAAATATTAAGCATGAAAACTTACAGTGGATAATCAGATTCCTATGCTATGAAAAGGATAAGCTGCAATCAATTTTAAACTTAAGTGTCGACAAATTAAGGCTTCAATAATAACTATAATTAATAATTTGTATTTTTGTGGTAATCAAATGTGCTTTGACTGTCTACTTTCGTTCAGCTACAACGGTAATAATAATAAAATGGTTTATTGCTTCAAATTACAAAAACTATACATTATATAAAATAAACTACAGAGACAAACGGAGGTGACACAGCTAATGTTGAGCAAGAGCATGCAACTGCCCAACGCTGGTTTTCAGTCACCCTTCTTTCCCAGAAAGAAAGAAGCAGCGTCTCTTTTTACAATATTACAAATAAATATGAATTAAACACCAAGATACTGTACTGAATACTTATTAATTAATCAACATTTTATTCAAATTCAAACCATATGAAATATATTAGCTTATTTTATTAAATCAATTATCTCATTACAAAAAATATATTAGGCACTAAAAGTATTCAGTATGCGGCTGAATAGTATGGACATATTATAATATAAAAGCAGCCGAATAGGCAGAACACCGAATATTCATTACATGTCTAATATATACATAAAAAATAAACTATGTCAATGACTTTACACTTAAAAAAAAATATTAAAGATGATAATTTTTATGAATAAGTATTTGCAAAAATACTAATAATTTGCCCTTGTCCTATGTCAATACATTTATCACAAATCATAAAAACAATAGGGATGACTAATTTTTGACCGTCTGTCCGTCAGGTACATTAATGAACAATACTAAGTATGTATTTTT